ATACCTCCTTGTATTTTGTATTCTGTATTTTCATCTCCTCTGAACATCCTAGTCCCTGATTTAAACCTACTAGGTCTTTAGAAAACACACTATATTGGTTCTCACTTGAGTGTGTTTTGCTTTTTGCCTTAACTGAGATTATTTCATTTACAGACATTATTATTATATTTTAGCTGATGTGACCATCTGAATTATATTAGTTTTAAAGCACTGGTTTTAAAATATCCTCTGTTTATCGAGGATATGGACCTCTTCTGGAATAACTGTTTTCTAGGAGTTAGAAACAAGAGTAGGAAGGTGAGGCATTGTGCTCCTGTAAAGATTCACAGCCTTGGAAACCCAAAGGATTAGATCTACTCTCTTCTGTAGAGTTGCTAGTAGTTGCAATTGATGGCAGTAAGTGTTTTGTTGTTGTTCTGAGTCATTAGAGAGTGCTCCTCCCTCTTGATTTTTTTGTCCTGCCAAAAGTTTATTTCCAAGTTGTATTCCATCTCCTAAATTGAATATTTGGTTCTCTCAAATTAAAGATATCAGATTGAGGCATCCTTTATTCCTTCTTTCTTTCTCTCTCTTCACCCTTTATCAGTACTATCTCAATATTGATCAACGGAGTATAAATGAAATATCATTTTCATCTGTGTAAATAAACATGTATATATTCCTTCTTTAATTTTGGAATGAAGTGTAAACTTTTGGTACAGGACCGGGAAGGGAATTAGATTATCCAGCAAACGCTCTTTGTAGAAAGGGCATTGGAAGCTATTTACTGAACAGTTAAGCCTATGGTGAAAAGCTGTCATTTTCAACTGTGGCTGTGACAGCCTGGGGGCTTTTCTCCCCACACTGAATTCAGCACGCTCTGGACTCAATAACTGTGCAAGCTTATGTATTCTCTTAGAAAAGCCAATATGCTTATAGTGAATCATCTATTACTAGCTTTCTGTCTCCTCAGTTACCTTAGACTTAAATATCCAGTTTCCTTCATGCAATATCTATAGAAAAAAAAAAAACCCTTAAACTTGGGAATGAATTGTTATTTTCTTAATGTCAAAAGTTGCTTATTTCTTAGTACTTTAATAAGGAAATAGCCCTGTTATTCACTGTGTGCGTTAAAATGTAATATCCACATGTAAATCCCAGTTGATTCTAGGACATCCTATAGTCCATCCATCTCCATTACTTCTAACATTGTTAGAATAGCAACAGTTTTACCTGGAGAGTACAACAGAAATCTTACAAACACGCACAATTATAAAAACGTTTTACAGTATAATGAGCAAAACCTTACAGATCCGATCATCAGTTTTATATTCAAGAATGCATACACATTTTGTTTCAGCACATCCATTGAAATCACACCAAAGTAGTAAAACTTAACTCACTGCCTCCTGGTACTTCCTGCCCTTCATGCCTCTCTCTATCCTAACACTGTGAGCTTTGATTTGATCAGTGTTGCCCTGCTTATCTTCAGTGGTTGATTATTGTGACAGAGGCCTGAGATTACTTCCAGACTTGAAGGGTGGGTAACTATGAACCATAGATTTGGGAGCTCTACCAGTCTCTATACAACCAGCAATCCTAGTCCCTTTCTTAATTTTGAGGTCTGTTCAACAGTTTTCTCCCACTCTATCTAGGACCTTCTAATGTGATCACGTCATGTAGATGTGCAGTGCACGTGTAGCCATGCACCACCTAGTTCTTCTCCCCTTGGGAACTAATAGTTTACTGGTCCATTCCTCCATTGGTCTACTGATTGTTCTCATCTGTCTTCCAGTTTTCAGCACTAGTCTTTCCTCTTTGTGGGGAAAGACCAGAGTGCCACCTTCAGTGGTCACTCACAAGCTTTTAAGTCCCCAGGCACTACTCACTACATTGGGATTTAGAAGATTGACGGTGAATTATGTTGTAGCAGTTGAGCTCAGTGGTCCTGAAATTAAGGTTTTGAGCTGCCAGGGTCAGTGACTCATCCAGGCAAGGTATTTTCTTATGTTAAAGAAGTTTTCGTAAATATGCTTCACCATATTCATGGATATATTTGCAGAAATGGTGAATATACACATACAAATGTCTTTCAAAAACACAGACAGATCTAACTATTCATCTATCTATCTATCATCTATCTATCTATCTATCTATCTATCTATCTATCTATCTATCTATCTATCATCATCCATCTATCTACTCCCACTCGCCCTCCCACACCTGTTCAACCTGCAGAAGACTCTTGCCCAGATTTCCTGATTTGACTTTAGGTTCTCCATCATTTACCACCCTGTGGTAAACCTAAACTAAAACCACTGCCATCGTGTTTAATTGGACTCATATGGAATGGCTTAGTACTTCCCCTGGGGTTTCCCAGACCATAACTTTTTACAAGAGTAGACATTCCAGCCTTTCTCCCTAGGAACAGCTGGTAGCGTGCAGTTAGTAGCCCAATGTCAAACTGCTATGCCACCAGGCTCCACATCACCCATAATAGTCAGGGCTTTAAAAAAAAATCCAACCCTGATGCTACACTGCTGAATCTTTGAATCTATTATTTTCACCCTGTCATCAAATCCATTCCACTCATAGTGACCCTATAGGACAGAACAGAACTTCCCTTGTAAGTTTCCAAGACTGGAAATCTTTACTAGAGTAGAAAGCCTCATTTTTTGCCCAAATCATTTAATGTATTTCTCGTACACATTCAATAACATTTAAACCCACTACTTTGGTTAACAAAGCTCACGATATAACTACTGATTCCTTCTCTGCCCTCATTCAAGACCACTCTTTTCTGGACCACTATACCACTGCCATTCTGGCCATAATTCTGTTCCTCGAATAGACGGAGATGATTCCAGCAATGCTGTCATTCCTGATGTTTGTATAACTAGCAAGATATTTCATTTTTAATTGAATCCCCATATATAAATGATCATCAAAAACCCTAACAAAGTAAATTTAGTACGTGACCCTATTAACATTTTCTGTAAATCACTTGTACCTAGATGGTACTTTTCTTTACTATACATACATTTATTTGTGTATTTTCTTCCTCCTTCACAAGTGTGCATATGGTTCATTAAATTAGCTATGAACTGACTTTTTTACTAAGATCTCTAGAACCTAGAAGAGGAATAGCACATGATGGGAACCCAGGAAATATTTGTTGATTTAGCTATCAATTAAGTGGATTCGCCATCACTTCAGATTTACTTACATGTTCCCTTGATGTTCCATCAAGTTGGTTCCTATGCCTAGCAACCTTCTGTGCACGAAGCAAAACTCTGCCAGGTCCTGACCCTTCCTCACCACTGCTTTATGTTTGAGCCCAGTGTTGCAGCCACTGTGTCAGTGTGTCCTGTGGAGGGCTTCTCCTTATCCACTGCCTCTCTCCCCTACCAAACATGAAGTGATCCTGCAGGAACTGGTCTCTTCTGACAATTATTCCATCAACACTATAGCTGAACGGTGAGCACAGCAAATCTCAGTAACCTCTTGTTACTTTTTTGCTCTAAAATGTTTATAAAGATGTTAGGAAACTCGTGCATTTTTGCAGTCATGTAAAATATTTTAAAAGTTAGATCGAAATGTAAGACAGCGAAGAGAGAAATAGTTTAGAAGTCAAAAGAGCAGAAGAAAGTGTCACCGGAGAGAAACATCAAAGGATGCAATTACTTAGAGATTTGATTTTCACAACATTTTTTTGGTCTTAAAAACTTGTTTTCTACTTTAACACCTTTTTCATTTACACAGAATATCAAAATGGCATTCAAATTACTTTTCAACTAGATATTTTAGTAATTGTACATTATAATGAGTTTAAATAAAAATGTTTTAGGGTGCTCTCTCAGAGATTACAGACTTACATTTTAACATTTTCCTCTCATAGGTGGATTATTAAACAGATTCATAATATTATTTTGCTCCTATGAAGATTTTTATCACTTAATGTGATCAGGAAGGGAGTACTTTTTCATTCTTGTTGGCGAACATAGCTGATAACAAATATTTTATGTATCAAATGTTAGCACCATTGTATAAGTTTCCAGTCCAAGAAGATGACAATAAAAGCCTCTTGTCTTATTGCTACTTTTAGTTTCCCTTCTGACTCTTAGGTGTTACTCATTAGCATTATAAAGGTTAAATGTGCATGTTATTCTATGATAGAAGTAACTATGTAAAATGAAGTCTTTTTCCTTGTAAAGTCGTTTATTACCTGTCAACAGGTACATATTTATCATCACTCCTTTATTAAAGTAGTAGCAATTAATGCAGAAAGAAAAAAAGACAATCTCATGTATTAGCTCACAAGAAAAAAATGTGCTCTTAAGTCTCTGTGTTTCATAGGATGTAATGTATGACTGTTTATGTATTATTAAAAATATGTGTACAATTTTATTTTCTCATTATTGTCTTGGGTCTCCATACTTATTCATTTATGTAATCTGTATCATTTGTCAGTAAAATCACTGTATGGCAAAAAATATATGTATGTATACCCTTTTTATGTAATGTCCTTCACAGATCTTACTACAGTGCCCTTCAGAAAATGTGATTTAATTGACCGGAAAATTAGAGCAAACAAATAAAACAAAACAAATAAACAAACACCCAAACATCCCTAATTAACCTTTATCAAGACTTCTGTGTAAAAATCAGCTCAGAAAATGATATTTATATCACTATTAGTATTTATTATTTTTTTCAGAATGATGGAAACCTAAACATATAAACACTATATTTATAATATAATTACTTTGATGTAAAGAATTATGACTATTTTCTATTTTTTGTTAAGGGTCACGAAAAGACTTTTGACATAATTGCATAGTGTGGGCTAGGAGACCTGACCGCCTCCGATATAGGGGTGTTTTATAGGCATCTGGGGTGGCTGGAGTCCCTGCCCTGTAGCCTGCAGCAGAGAGCAGCCTTGGTATAGCCTCTACCTGGGCTACTCTGAGGCTGGCCTGAGATGAGCAGGGGTCTGATGGTGCGCCCTGCGGTCCCCGCAGGTGGCAAGCACAATGAGCGACATCCAGCCCTAGCTGCACCACTCCGACATGCTGAGCGTGGCCCAGGAGGTGCGCTACCACCCAGACATCTCCTTCAGCAGCCAGCAGCAGAACGTGCCTCAGCTCATCGAGGACAAGGGCCCCGTGGAGCTGCCAGAGGAGTTCGTGGACCAAGTCCCCAAGGAGCACAGATTGCAGCCCAAGGTGCGGCCAGAGGTGGGGAGAGAGGGGCGGGGGTGGCTGGACAGGGACTCCTGGGAGGCTTAGCCCCGGGCAGTGTCCCAAATACATTTGAGTATTTGTGTGTGGTTTTTTCTGCATCAACTCATTCTGGCTGATGTTTTCGTTTCATGGCCTTTTACTTGAAGGATGCATGTCCTTTCTAATTAGGTTCTCATCATTACATCGACATATTTGGTTTTAAACTTTTTCATTGAGTTTCAAATATTTCTGCATTACCACAGGTAATTTAAAATTGCATTTAGTGACAATGTCAATGGTCATATTGGGCTGGTTGTAAAAATTAAGTTTTAACACTTCTGGTTGTCTGCTTTGGTCTGAGGAAATCATTAATGGGAACAATTGATGTTTTCAGGAGAACATCTTTAAAATCCTTCATTAGGGATTGTGCAGCCTCATCAAAGTATAAAACCTGATATAAAAATTGTGGTTACAGAAGCAACTAGAATTTCTTATGAAATTTTTGGAGGGAATTAATTTGTCATTCTTCATCTGGCAAGTGGAGTGAGTGGGATCAGCTGTTGGAGCAGCACTGCAGAGCCTCACATAAACCTTGCCTGAAATTCAAATCTTATTGTTGTACACAATATTATATATTTTATTATATATTACATAATATCTAGGAAATCTATTTTTCTTCTTTCTTCCTCACAACATTTTTCACTTGCACCTCTAACCTCCCCCAGAGTACCATATATTTATAATTTCCTTTGTGTGTCACAGCCTAAAGAGGGTGCAAAACATTTGACTGCAAGAGCCACGAATAGCATCAATTCTTGTTGCAAAACACAGCCACCCCTCTATCCTGTCATTTTTTTGAAATTAACTACACAGAAGCTATAGTTGCAAAGGACTGTGAAACACCACAGAATTAGCTGTGTTTATCTTCCAAACCACATTACAGAATTCTCTACTAAACTAGCTTGAACTATTTTGCTTTAGTTTTGGGACTGAAGGCGGTGCATTTCAAATCTAGTCAAGATTTAAGATACCCCACTTCAATGATGGCAGCCATGTAGAAAGATTAAGCACGTGAATAACATTGCACTTTTAGTGGCTCTATCTACTAAATCACCTGGCTTAATCTGTGGCTCGGGTCTGTCCAAATCAGATGACTACTTCTTTAGTGGCCATGGCTGTGGAGCAGCTGTGCTTATGACATGTATCCGAGTGGTGGATGAGTGTGTACACTTCCATAGAGGTATAGGAAATGAACCCTAACTGGATCTGAAGATTCAAGGACTTACACAGATCTACCAAATAAAAAAACAAAAACAAGCTCACTGCCATCAAGTCAATGCTGACTCTTAGTGACCCCCCTGTGGGTTTCCGAGACTGTAACCGTTTATGGGTGTGGAAAACCCAGTATTTCTCCCAATATCTATCATCTATCTATCTATCTATCTATCTATCTATCTATCTATCTATCTATTCTCCATATTTTATCATATAGATATTCATACTATAGAGATATCTAATATATATCTATATTATATATTGTGTAAAAATATTTAATTTTCTACTTTGGGAATTTTCTAGTTTTTAAACTATCTGCTTTCTTTTGTCCATTATTATTTCAATCTGAAATTCTCTTAATTGTGGGATTTATATTTTTTTCTAGACTATGCCTGACTTGTTAAAGATATTATCGTGCTCTTTTGTATTATAAAATGCCAATATGAAAGTAATCTTATTTAATCTCCTACAAAGACAGGGCTTTCAACTTCTCTAAAGAATTACTCTTTCCTATAGAGTTCGCTATGATTTGGCATTGATTCGAGGACCGTGAGTTTGATTTGGCTTTTGAATACACAAAGGGGCCCTGGCGGGATCGTGAATTAATGTTGGACTGCTAACGCCAAGGTCAGTGGCTCTAATCCACCAGTCTTTCTGTAGGAGAAACATGAGACTGTCTGACTCGGCAAAGCTAAGGATGGCTTCACAGAAACGGCAGGGAGTCTTCTAATCTGTTCTAAAGGGTCACTGTTCATTTGTAATCAACTTGGTGGCAGTGGGTTTGAGGTTTGGAAATGCATATATATTCATCAGAATATCGATTATTAATGAAGCAGCATCCAGAAATGATATTTAACTTCCATGAGTAGACCTTGTCCATATATAAATCAGATGTTAACATGAATATATAAAACTCACATTTGGGATTGAGAAGTAAATTCAGATATCAGCCAGACTGTCCAAATTTTTTAAACTAATGCTTTTATTGCGAAGAAACTCTTATAATTTAATAACATTTTTCTATGTAATTTGATGTGGTTTTCTGTCTCACCTGTGTAGAGTATAAACACTCATTGCCATGACATTGATGCCAACCGTGGCAACCCTGTAGGACAGGGTAGAACCCCCTGAGAGTGTCTGAGAGTGTAACCCTTTACAGAAGTTAGAAAGCCCCAGTTCTCTTCATTGGCCTGGCAAGTGTTTTTGAACTGCTGACCTTATGGTTAGCAGCCCAACGCATAACCACTATGTCGCTGGGACTCTTTTCACAGATTAGAAAGATTATCTTTTCAATGGTCATTTAGGTAAAAGTTTAAACAGCAGATTTGCTCCTGTTTCACAGATTGTACGGTAACATTGTGTTACCATTTCCACCCTGCCTGCCCGGTTTTCATTCATCCAGCTGTATTGCCCCTTATAGCCTATCGGTCTTTAATTTGAGTAATTGTTGCCCATGTAGTTGATTGTTTAAAGGAGCACATGCCTTAAGGGTGATCTTGTTTATTTTATAGGCTAATCTGTCATATTGCTGAAAGGTGCCTTTAGGGGATATCGTTAGCTCTATTTGAAAGGGCAGCTTAAGGTGAAGGTCCAGGCAGTGTCCCACTTGTCTCCATCAGTTCAGTAAACTTAGTCTGTTTTATGAATTTGAAATTATATACTACAGTTTTTCTGCAAGACATCATGCACTGAGCGACATACCTGGTGTATTTGTATCATGCTTCAAAGAGGAAAATTGTATTATGTTGATTTGGATAGATAGGAAAAAGAGAGTACTGTATAAGGCAAATTTCATATGATATCATAACAAGAAGCAGGGGGATGCAATGTGATTTAAAAGGCACCCACAGAATCATTTTAATCTATTATAATGAAATACGCTTTGAAATTTGCGTTTATGCAAAAGTAATATACCAGTGAGACAGGGAGTGACTGAAGGTTGACCTAGAACCTTTAATGTAGAAAGGATAAAGAAGAATACGTAAATATTACAGGGGCTTATTCTGTCCTGATGAAGATAGTACAAAGAGCTAGAATTCCTGGAGAAGTATTATAAATGAAATTGAAGTAGTACACATTGTATTATTTGAGTCCTTAAAATTGAGAAGACGTAGAGGAATTGAACTGGAATATGTTAGTGAACTCAATCTCATATTCCCTCCTCCTAGCTTCCCTTTTTCAAAAACAAAATCGAAATTATCTTATAGAAATAAGATAAGATTATAGAAAACTCAGAAATATAAGTAAAAAAGATTACCATTAATACAGATTTTGATTGAAAAATAGATTTTATTTTTTATATTGTTAACCTCTGTTTGCTCTCCAGATAGCCAGATAAGCAAGCACAAACTGATGCAGGAAACACCAATAAGAACAATTTGATAAAAGCCCTCTTAATGGCCTGAAATTAAACTGCTGCCTTTTTCCTTTATATTGATTTGACTCTGATAGCTAATAACAGCTTTAAAGAGTTAAGGAGTGCCTATATTCACGTGGATTAAGCCTTCACATTACAGCAGTAAAGCATAAATAATATATGTGTGTGTGTGCGCAGAATGTAAATTACTCTTCAACATTTAAGCAAAATGTCATGCGTATCATAATACCCAATTAAGAACTAGCTATCAAAACCTTCCCATGGAAGCAAAAGGAAAATTAATGTATTTTTATCAACATATTCCTTACTTAATTGAGGTTGTCATGCAGATGTATAAAAAGTTCATTGAGATGAAACCCAAATAACCCTTCTGCAGATAATGCAGACAGTCTGCAGGGTTTATACCATTTTCTCTTGGATTAAAGTTCATACATCTCAATATTGACAAGAAGCTGTATGAACTCTACACTGAACTTCCAAGATATTCTAAATTGTAAGCTGGGTCCAGTCAGAATGTCTATGCATTCTGTCCTCATTTTGGAGAATCACCACTAAACTCAACCATAATATCTAATTTGTTTCAATTTCTCCACTCTTAGCAGTCTATAAGGATGTTTGTATAGCAGTTATAATTAATGGGAAATTTTTTTGAAAAAAAATTTAATACTCATCCTTTAAAATTACTTCATATGACTTCTTAAATCATGGAAATTATGTTTCTCCACCTAGCATTCAGTAATATATTTAGTAACAGTGAATTGAATGCTACTGCATCCTGGCACCCCACTAAATGCGACAAAGACAAAGATGGGGAACTCATCAACTTTAATCTCCCAAAGAGCCTTTAATCTATTAAGACACACAAAAAGAGAGCAGTTCACAATGGTTAATGCTTACTAGGTATTACCTCCCCCTGAATTCAACCAGACAAAGGTTTGGTTTGTTTTTTAAAAAGTTGATAATGACCAAATAACCAGAAGTACCTGCTTGTCTGCTGTGTATAGGCAGGCTTTTAAAAAAAAATCATTTTATTGAATTTTCTTACAGCTCTTATCACAATCCATCCATCCACTGCATCAAGCTCATTTGTACATTTGTTGCCATCATCATTTTCAAAACATTTTCTTTCCACTTGAGGCCTTGGTATCAGCTCATTTTTCTTTTTCCCCCAACCTCCCTCCCTCATGAACCCTTGATAATGTATGGTTTTTTTCTGTCTTACACCAGACCATCTTTGTCTAACTTCACCCACCTTTCTGTTGTTTGTCCCCCTCAGAGGGGGTTACATGTAGATCATTGTGATCAGTTCCTCATTTCTCCTCCCACCTTCCCTTTCCCTTCCTGATATTGC